AGGATGTATGATGAGTTATAGAAATATAACTCAAGAAAGGGGGACACAACATATCTTTAAGGTCGCGGTGATTAATCCCCCCTCTTACTTATTTTATTCTATTCTATCTAAATATGTGAGGGAAGCTACACCATAATTGGAACTGGTTGAATAAGCTGAAAATGATGATGATGATGATGACAGAGTTAGACATAAATAAGTGCAAACATTTTCAGGGCTGGTAGATCTCAATAAGAGAAATATATTTTCTCTTTAATGTTAATCAATTACGTCCAAAGTAACCAAGTTATTATCCAAGTTATTTTACTTTCAATGAGAAAAATGCTTAAATTTTGATAACCTCTGGATTTTTTCTGAGTTTTCTTTCTAGTAGAAATTATCTACTACCTATGTTGCCATATTATCAAGATGTAATTTTAAAAAAATCCAATTTTTTTTGAAAAATACAAAATTTTCAAAAAATGAAAATAAAAAAACTCATAGACGTGTTTCTGTTAGGTTATTCAATTGTTATTCCCACCAATGTTTTATTTTTTTGAAATGAGATTATGCTTATAAAGTGTCTTTTTCATAAGTAAATATATCTAAATATGTTATAAATTGCTTGGTATTTTTTTGTTCTTATTTTGAATACTATATTTAGCCCTAAAGGTCTTCCCCTAGGAGATGCAAGACCTTGTCGTTGGTGGGGAAGCTCTGGTCAGGTGCTGGGGGGAATCCCCTCTAGCACTTGGCTTGCTCTAAGAAGCATCTCACTCATCGTCTTGTCCCTGACTGTAGTGTCGTGGCCAGGGAATTGCACCAAGACATATAACAATACTGGGCGGGGCTACGGACAGCCTCAACCTTGGGGCACCGGGGGGCACCCCATTGTATTTTACCCCTTACTTCTACATGCGGGGCTCTGTAGAAGTGGACCGACTGTCCCTAGCGACTCATAGGAACACTATGAGATCTGATAATAATAGTAATAAAAATATCACCGGTGAAGCTGGGAAACCCCTAGCGACATCAGGGAACAGTAACAATGAAAGTTCCAAGGGCCAAACCCCAAAGAGAACTACAGGAGAGGTGGCTGACACTTGCGTGAGACCATCCTCCGCAAGTGGCATACAAGCTACCACCTCCTCCAAGGGTCGGGAGCCTACCTCCCACCTCTAAACCCAACAGGCGACACAAGCTACCGTTTCGTCTACCCGGCCTGGGTCGTAGCTCCTCGACTGTGAGGGACACGGGTCTCCGTAGGAAGTCCTGGGACTGTATGATGAGTTATAACTCAAGAAAGGGGGACACAATAGATCTCTAAGGTCGCAGAGATTAACCCCCCTCCCACTTATTCTAATTCTAATTCTAGCCCTAAAGGTCAAAAACCTCCCTCTCATAATTATACACTTATCAGATATCAGCTGCTAAAACTGACGATAACCATTAATACAGTTACGCCTAGAGGATTCCGTTTTTTTTTATTTCATTAAGTAATTGTTTAGAATAATGGCACGGCTTCGAAACACAGTAGAGCTGAGACCATAAGCAATAAAATAAACATATACGTTTTTGTTGTGTCGAAAGATATGAAAAAGCCATGTATCAACGGTTATCTGATGCCAGGGCAACACGCATTTTCGTGTCTGGCTTTAGAAAATGTCTTGTTAGGAGAAAAAAATATAGAGAAAACCAGGAAGGACCTTGATTTTATATACGAAAAATTAGTCAATGACTTATTAAGAACAAAGAAACAATAAAAAACAGAATTGCCTAGTTATAATAGAACACCCTAAATACAGGGTCGTCCAAATTTTAATCGTGGAACTTTGGCAATATAATATCCAGATAAAAATAGTTAAAAAGTTAAAAGAAATATTTAAAAAAATAATTAAAAATGTTCGTATAAATCTATGTTCTATAAAATGATTGGTTTCGGAGATTACGATGCAGAAATTTTATTGTTATTTTATTTTTAAATAATTTGTAATTTAACGTCAATATTTGGATGAAAATGGTGTCTGGTTGTTTTTTAACAATCGAAATTCGTCAGTATGACTCCTACTTCTAGAGGGCGCTACCTACATGTTTCTAATTGTTATGAAGAGTAATAACTTTTTGTCTGTATCTGTATTACACTACTGAGGTCTACGTAAAAAATATCTTAGTTAAAATTGCTACGGGCAAAGCTTAATTTACCAGGTACAGGTAAACAAAACATATAGGTAGGGTCTCTTACAAGTAAGTGTCATACTGATATCAAAATTAAATTTTTTATTTAAAAATCACCCTCTTATTTAAAATTAAGTTATCTGAAAAAAAACTAAATGAAAATGAATTTTCTACACCATGTATCTCCGAAATGAAGCATTTTAGAAAATAAAAAAATTATACGAACTTTTTTGCTTATCTTCATCTGCAGAATGTATTGTCGAAGTTTCCGGAGTACAACTCGGACCACCCTGTATATTGAACCTTAAAATACATGAAAATTTTAAGGTGCCCGTTTTTCGTGCTGCTGATTATGTATTTATACAGGGTGTTTCGTGGGGAGATTACTCATGTAAAAATTACATTTATTTTTCATATCAAAATAGGTCCGATTCTGCTTTGTTTCGTAGCTACAGGGTGTTAAAGCCTTAATAATTTTTCGATTTGTTATAATTTTCTTCCAAGTACTTTTAGTGATTTGAATTAAATTTTGAGGGTAAAAGTTATTACTCGTATAAGTGCTACATATTTTAATGCTAAAAAGTGTCGAAAATTTATCAGGGAAATGCATGTGGAATATGGGACTTTCTTTGGAATATTTTTCAAAAAAGGAACACGTCCACCACTGACTTTTTTTCTTCTGATATCAAAATTGTATTTTTTTTAAATTATATATATTATTTTTTTTTAAAGATTTTTAATAGACCTGGATCAAGGCAAATTAATAAAAAAATGCGTTTACCTGATCAAGGAGGACGAAATCGACAAAATATCAAGAGACAACTTTTAATCGGAAGAGGAAACTAACAAGAGGAAAAAAAATATGCGGCACTTATAGTACCTTTTACCCTCAAAATTTCATTCGAAACGCTAAAAGTACTTGTACAAACACTAATAAACACTAATATTACTAACAGAACATCTATATTATTTGTCCGGAATTTGAAAAATAATTGTCGGACCGAAATCAACTATGTTAGTAATAAATATTAGTGTTTGTTAGTGAATGTAAACACATTATAATTCTTTATTGTTAATTATAGTTATTATCATTAATTCCCTCGTTAAGGCCAGAATGTCAAAATGTCAACACTGATTTTTCAGGCCTTTGACCGAAACGTTTGCCTTGTTGTTTTTGAAGATTAAAGATCACGAAAAACGTACCTTTGTTCCTTATTTGTCCTATGACTTAATTTGGAAAAAAGAAGAAAACAGAACCTAATAGCCAAGAAAATTAAAATAAAAAAGAATATTACATAATTATAATGATAGAACACTCTAAATACAAGGCGGTCCCAATTGTAAAAACGAATTCGCATAAAAAATAGCAAAAAATCACACCTCTATATACAACGCCTCTAAAAATACCCCCCTATTGACTTCATGCCATTCGATCCCTCAAAAAAGCCTCTTTTTTCCCAATTATCTAGGGGTCGAGTTTGTGTAACTAACAAATAAGTAAGGATTTTTTTCCTATTCATGGTCCCCAGCTATTTTTTTCTTTTCCCCCACACAAAAAACAAACTTACACCGACCGTGCCTCATACTCTCCAGATAATGATGATGTATAATGTATAATGGTGTGCGTTTTGGGAATTAAGGGGACTGGATAGCAGGAGGGGAATTTTGACTCCAACGTACTTTGAATTGAAATACGAGTTACCGGAAATTAAGCTTCGGCCGCATATCGACAGGGGTCCTGTCACTTATAAGCGAAAAAAAATATCGATAGGGATTCTATTTCTTATTATAAGTGGATTAAATATTTAGTATGACCGATACTATTATCACACTCAATATTTTGTAGTAGTGAGATGAACGGCCTATTTAAAAATAAACATATTTCTTTAAATTCAAAACATTCAGTTTTAAGACACTCTGTATACATAAATAAAAATATTGATTATTAAAATATTATTCGTAGTAGAACTCACTGCCAGAATTTCTTTAAAAACTACACAATACTGACTCTTCCTTCTTTATTCATTTTTGAATCCGTTTGCTTAATCCGCAAGCACATATCTGCTATTCCCGAAAGGCCACCTCACAACTATCCAGTTAGAAATGCGGAGCACGATCTTTATCTGCCAACTCCGAGCTCAGAACTAGTTAAAGGCTCAATAATGTACAATGCAAAAAAATGTACAACTATCTGCCTATGGATATCAAGTCGCTTTCATTCTTTTCCGCATTTCGCAAAGCTGTGAAATCATGCTTACTGGAGAGAGCCCTATATGTGGTAAACGACTTTTTTATAGATATTTAATCTTGAACAATTGTGAATTTTTAAATTTTGATCATCTCACACACTGGTTAAAAGTCTAGTAGGTATTTAATATTTTATAATAACTATTAAGTGATTATAACCCTATAATATAAGTGATTATAAATTGTAAAAATTTTATTGTTACATTTTTTTGTGTACTGCAATGTATGTATGTATGTATGTATGTTCTATTTGTGATTTTAAAGACTAATTTTTTTGAATTGTATGATATTTTTTAATTATTTGTATATTTTTGTGCTTTTATTTGTTTTTTAAATGTTTTGTCGATGAAGCTATTTTGGCTTTTTGTACAATAAAGATGTATTTATTTATTTATATTTATATTTATAAATTAAATAAAGACATTACTCAACGTTATTTTTGTATTCTTTTCCATAAAATACCTCTTAGATCATTTCCAATTTATATCTACTATTTTTATAGTTATTACCTATCTTTATCACCCGTAAATAAGATAATTAAAAATTCTTAAAAACTCTTAATTTTACAACTAACTTATCAATCCAATTGGTTTTAGTTTAGCGGTGTATAAAAATAAATGTTTGGCAAACTTACCTTTCAGTAGTAGAATTTAGTTAATACCTATAGTGTTTAGTTAAAAAATTTTAGTAAAATGTCTCAACCTGCTGTCATACCTGGTGGTCTTCGTCCAGGACTGACCATAAGAATTAGAGGAATTGCCCAGCCTACTGGTGACAGGTATGTGTAACCAATTTTTGTGATATTATAAAGAAAACTATAAAATATTTGTACCTTATAATTCTGAATCGGTATAAAATTTCTGATTGCTTAGTATTTTTTAAAAGAAATATTTAGGATCTTTTGGATGAGCAAATATTTTCTTTTGAGATAAGTACGTTTACGTTATTAAATTAACAAATTGTTAAATACCTTATAAAAAGCCGTACCACTCTCTATATTGAACTAAATATCAGAAAAACCCAAATATTATAATTTATTAATTTTTATTTGGATATCTTTATATCACTCTGAACGTATTCAACCATTTCCTATTATGGTCTTATGGTATTATGGTCTAGGTATTATGGTCTAGTACTCACATATTTAGATACTCTCTTTGTAGTTGAGCCCATTGTTGTCTCATCTCAGGCTCAGTCTTCTTCTTGGTCTCTTAATTCCTCGTCGGTACCATACTAGTAGTAGTTACCATGTGATTTTTGTGGTCCATCTGTTGTCTGTCCTTCTTGCCAGGTGTCCTGTCCATTGCCACTTGAGGGATTTGATTCTGTGGATGACATCTATTACCTGGGTCTTCTGTTGCATCCACTCTATTCTTTTACGGTCTCTCTTGGTTATTTCCAGGACATTTCGTTCCATTAAGCGTTGTACGACCTGCAGTTTCCTTATAATGTCCGTTTTGAGTATTCAGGTTTGGCATGTATAGGTCATGACTGGTAGTACACAATGGAAAACAGCTAAATAATAAAATTAATAAATTTTTAATTCGATATATTTTTATAACCAGCTATTCATATATGGGGAAATTAAAATAACTTTCGTTGCACATCATAATACAACCACCAGCAAACTTCATAAGACTACGCATGGTGTCATTGATGACCTGCAACGAAAGTTGTTTTAATTTCCCTATTCTAGTATTTATTTATACGGGGTGTTGCATCGTCGAGCGGGACATAGGAAATCCCATGTAAATTTTAATGGGGTCAATTATTGGCTTCCCTAATTATTTTAGAGAATAATTCTATTCAGGTTTATTGAAGAGTACTAACCTAACCCACATTTAAAAGAATAACTTTAGATATTTTTTGATTAGCCCGTTTACGAGTTATCGCCTATTTCTTTTTAAATATTTCTCCTTTATTATGGCTCTGTATTTACTTATGAGCACCAGTCAAGGTAAAAGATAACTGTCAAATGAAGTTTTCATTTCAGAAACTTATCTATTTAGTGCTTTATTATTATTATTAAAAATTCATACCTACATCGAAAATATTAGCAATGAATTACACTACCGAAGAAGAAGTATTGATGATTAAATGGTATTATCAAGGAAATAGTTTTCAAAAGGTGTCGGACATGTTTGCTGCTCTGTATCCGAATAGACCGATACCTGGAAAATCTACAATCTTAAGGAATATCCAGAGATTTGAGACCAAAGGTACCCTAATAAATAACTGCAGATGTGAAGCAAAGCAGGAACAAAGAGAAAATGCAAGAAATGATACCGACTTGGAAGTTTTATTGTGTGTGGAAGAGAACGATGGAAAGATCAGCACAAGGAAACTTGAGGATGAAATAGGAATAGATCACACTACAGCGTTTCGAATTTTGAAACGACATAAATACTATTCCTTCAAATATGAAAAGCACCAAGAACTACGAGATGGGGACGGAATACGGCGGCAGGCGTTTTGTTTTGATATGATGGAAAGAGCAAACATGGATAGGGAATTTTTAAAAAACATCTGTTTCACTGACGAATGCAGATTTGCAGACAGGACCTGACCCATCGCCTAAAAATATTCCTTTCCATATTTCAGTTAGACTAAATCAAGGTAATTAATGTAAATATTATACTTAAAATTGCAGAAACTACATTTGAAAAAGCTTTCACGGCCACGATTTTTTCTTTTGCAGACATAATATGGGATTCATAAAATTTGTTTGTTATTTTAATCGTAACATACCTAAATTGTTTTATTATAGAATAAATAGATCTTGAAATAACTCTATGATGGATAAATTGATGATCATTGAATGTTTATAGGTTATGTTGCTAGAAACACCTTGAAACGTGGGAAATGGGACTCAGAAATTGGAGACGGTAGCCTTCCTATTAACAAAGGACAACCTTTTGACATCAGTATCACGGTAGAACCTCACCGATATATTGTAAGTAAACTACGGATTTTGAAAAATGCAATAAACTTATCCTTTTAAATTAGGTCAATCTTATCTTCAAAAAACACTTATTAACAAGTGATATACCGAGAATCAAAAAGTTTCCCACTACTGGGTAATGGTTTAATTCAGTTTTCAGTTTCCAATTTTGAGTGTTTACCAACAATAGATTTGTCTTGTGTAATATTTAATTATAGATTTTTTATTGAATGGTGATCCTATAAATTAAGTTAAGAATTTAATTAATTAATTAAGCTAAATAATTAACTTAATTATTTTTAATTAATTAAATTAAACATCAATTAATTAATTAACTTGATTGTTTTTAATTAATTACGTTAAAAAAATTAATTAAGTTAAAAAAATAATTAATTAAGTTAACTAATTAACTTAATTATCTTTTTTTAAATAATTAAGTTAAAGAATTTAACTTAATTTATAGGATCAATATTCAATAAAAAATATGATAAAAATGTTTATAACAAATAATATACTACGTGTTTATTTATTTTAGGTTCACATAAACGGTCAGAATTTCTGCGAGTACCCCCATAGGTTACCTTTTGATCAAGTGTCACACATTAATGTTCATGGTGACTGTTCACTCCAAGGTGTCAGTTTTGAAACTCGTGGTCAAGGTAAATCTTTAGCTCTAGCTTCTTTTTTCTTTTCTTAAACCATTCTTAAATAAATGTTTCATTTCTTGGCATTTGAGGTTTTCTTCTGATTGTGAAATAAAATTAGTACATCTTGTTTGGCGTTTCGCCTTGCATTTAAGGCTTTCTCAAAAATTATTTATTATCTAAAATAATACATAAAAAAATTACAGGAATAAAAAATCATATATCACAATATAAAATAAAGGTGTTATTTTTTTTTTCTATGAATATAGTATTAATTATAATTTAAAAATATATAAATACATAAACAAAACATTAATAAACAGTGGCGGATAATGGCCCATGGGGCCCGGGCCCTCCCTAAAATCTGTAAATTGGGTTAAATATTAGGCTTTTGGGCTAAAAATGGCACCCTAAAAGGCATATTTTGCATTATTTTTTATTTGGGCCCCCCCCCTAAAATAAATTTCTGTATCCGCCCCTGTTAATAAATTAAAAACAAGCCATATAAGGATACACCTATATAACAATGCAATGGATGTTTTACAATATTTTCTTTTTTGGTACGTACTTTACAAAATGTACTAATTTTATTTTACTATCAGAAGAAAAAAACTCCTGTGGAACAGGCATATTAAGAACACTACCAGCAAAGCCATAAAGGCTCTCATCATATGCAGAAGACTGGCCGGAAATAGATGGGGCTGCTCCCCTAACATTTTGCGCTTGATGTATACCATGATAGTAAGACCCATGATTACTTATGGAGCAGTTGCCTGGTACACAAAACTAGAGCGACGGACGGCAAGGCTAAACCTATGCAAAGTCCAGAGACTAGCATGCGTTTGCGTCACAGGAGCCATGAGAACCTGTCCAACAGCAGCAATGGAGGTCATTCTAGATCTAACACCACTGCACATTGTCATTGGTAGATATGCCAATGCGACAATGATTAGAATGGTCACTAACGGAATTAGTACTGGGAGAATTGTCAGATCAGGGGCTTGGAACACCCTCATAAAGGAAATACCACTCCTGCAACTCCCAGTGGACGATATGCCAAGAACGTACAACTTTGAGAAACATCTCAATGTAGTATTGAGCAATAAAAAGGATTGGAAGAGCGAAACGCTTGCCCAGCAGTTAAAAGACCATACCATAACTTGGTATACTGATGCTTCCAAAACCAATACGGGAACAGGGATCGGAGTGTTTGGACCGAGAGCTAAATACTCCGAACCAATGGGCACTTACCCTAGTATCCTACAGGCAGAAATCTACGCTATCGAAAGATGCGTACAACTTATCTTAGATAGCAACTATCGGAAACAAGAAACAGCCATCTTGTCTGATAGTCAAGCAGCGTTAAAAGCGATCAACTCAGTATCGATCAATTCGAAATTGGTCAAAGAATGCATAGAGAAGCTGAATAAATTAGGCAAAGAAAACAAAGTCCTCCTACTCTGGGTGCCTGCTCACCAAGGGATAGAAGGCAACGAAAAAGCAAATAATCTAGCTAGGAAAGGAGCGAACACTCCACTAACTGGACCAGAACCGTTCTGCTCTCCAAGTGGTAACCAACTCAAGGCGGAACTCAAGAACTTGGAAGATTCCATCCGCAACCTGGAATGGAAACCTTGCAACGGTCTAGGACACTCGAAGAAGTTTCTGAGGGCTTACGATCAAGAAAAATCACAGATCTTCTTGGGTTTAAGTAAGAACAATCTTTGGATTATCACGGGGTTTTTAACAGGACACTGTCTTCTCAATGAACACCTCGGTAGATTGAAACTAAGAAGAAACGGCGAATGCAGATTCTGTGGGGAAAATGGGGAAACACCAGTACACCTCATCACTGAGTGCGCCGAGACGACAACCATTCGTGCCATGAATTTTGGTACGACTGATATTGGAGATGGAGAACTACCCTCTATAAAACCGTCCCAGATACTGGCTTTTGTCAAAGCCCTTGGACTGTATGATGAGTTATGACTCAAGAAAGGGGGACACAATGGATCTGTAAGGTCGCAGTGATTAACCCCCCTCCCACTTATTCTAAATTCTAAAAAATCAGAAGAAAACCTCAAATACCAAGAAACGAAACTAGGGTCAGCTAGTTTTTAATAAATGACATATTGTTGCTTATCAATTGTTAATAAGTGTTGGTTAGACAAAATTATTATTGTCATTTCAGAGGCTACTGTATCGTCGTTTTTTTTTCATCGTATATGGTGTCTGTATATTATAATTAAATGTTTTTTTTTTCATTTTTAGTTGGAGTAACAACTAGAACTACCACTGTTCGAACTCAGCACTTCAGTAGTAGCAGTAGTGGGGCCTCATTATATAGAAGTACACAATAATCCTATACTTAAATCACTCAAATAATGTACAACATTTGTATATCTTTTGTAATAAAATTACAATGTTATTACCTTAAACATATTATTTTGTTTAACCTGTTTATCTTGTTTAACCTATTGTTTTTTTTTAACCTATACCGGGTGCGTCTCAAAAGTGGCTCGCCCCCTATAACTTTTTTATTTTTTCAGATAAAAAAAACGATATTTGGTATGTTAGTATTAGGACATAAATTAGGATTGATTGACATATTCAATTTTTTTTGGCCACTTCCTGTTTTACCGGAAATTACTATAACTTTTGATTTTTAAATGGCACCCTCGGTATTTTTTTACTTTATTCGAAAGAAAACGACACTCTGAATAGAATGACATATCATATGCCAACTTTTGACATTTTAGTTTAAAACAAAATCGTATTTTAAATTTCAATCTAGAGTGCCATGGCTGTCTCAAAAACAATAATTTTTAATCAAGGAGGCTTGGAAAAATAGATTTGATAGACTAATGTTTGTAGTGTCTTGTCCTGGCCGGTTAAAAGATGCCCAAATTGTATTTTTAATCATATCTCAATTTTTTCAAATGGAACGGGGGTGGCTCAGCCATATTTGGAAAAATCATTTTTTAGAATAATTTGGTACCACCTCGGGTACCACACACTTGGTATTTCGAATCAAATTATTGTTATGAATCGCATGTTGCAATTTCCAATAACCATATTCAAAAATGTCAAAAGTTGATATATGATATGTCATTCTAATCAAAGTGTCATTTTCTATCGAATAAAGTAAGAAAATACCGAGGGTGCCATTTAAAAATCAAAAGTTGTAGTCATTTCCAGTGAAACAGGAAGTGACCGAAAACAATTAAATATGTCAATCAATCCTAATTTATGTCATATACCCACATACCAGATCTCGATTTTTTATCTGAAAAAATAAGAAAGTTATAGGGGTGAGTCACTTTTGAGACGCACCCGGTATACAGCCCAGGTAACAATTTGATGTTCTATAAAAATCGTAAGAACGTTTCCAGAGCAATTTTTATAGAATAGTGTTTGTTCTAAGAACATTTTTAAAACGTTGTTAGAACACTTGTACGATAGAAATGGGCACCGTTTTATAGAACTTTTTAGCCTTTTAATTGTTTTCTTACTTCTGCAGAAAACCCTGTATATTATTCTATTTTTGGATTCTACGATTGAAATAAAGGTAAATTTGATTAAGGTTTATCACACTAAAAACCTTACCGTTTTTGAAATATTTTCAATTTTATGAAATTGTAGTAGAAATTTTAAGGCTTTATTTCTCCCAGGGTATCAAAGTTTTTAATACTAAATATTTACTGAAGATTATTTATTGATCAGATATTGTGTTGCAATAATAAAAATTTTACTACCTTATACAGAGTGTCCAAAAATTTATATTAAATAATTACTAGCTTTAAACTGCAATAACTTGTTTAATTTAAATGGAACACCCTATATATTTTACGTGAATCAAATGTACAATGTAATTGTCTATGAAATTGTATTATACATTTTTCACCCATCTCTTGAAGTTTTCGTAGAAAATGCGTTTAGTTATAATTTGGACCTCATTTATCATTATACCCATGGAATATTGACATTTCAGATTTTTTTATAGCACCATAATATGTACAAAATGTACAGATGGTAAATATTGCAAGCCCATTGGTATACAAAAAAACTATTTAAATCTTTGTAAAAGAGTATACCAATTAAATATACCACCATTATTTCCTACAAAAAAAACACCAAAAGTTAGTTAATTACATGCTTGTAAATTGGTTTAATTAATAAATTATTCTAAATAAATGTGGATTTGGCTCAGAAATCAATATAATAATAAGTTATGAAAATGAATGTCTCTGTTTTTATAAATAAGCATTCGTCAATAAATGAAATAAAATTTATAAGGTGTTACTTTTTACCACACTGTCTAATACACACATAAAATTCAGTTTTTTAGTATTTGGAACAGTTATTACTTTAACGTAAACAGTCAATTTAATGTAGTTTGAATACTGGGAGCATATTAATTGGTCCTCTTTAACAAAATAGCTATTTATGTAACTAGTACCTAAAATGATGTTTTTTAGGACGAATCATTACTGTTTGCGGACGAGGCGTTAGCCGAGTCCGAAATAGTAGATGAGTCCTAAAAAACATAATTTAGGTACGTGTTACATACACTATTTTTTGTCATACGCTTTTTACAGTTTTTAGAACGCATATTTGCAAATTTTCCATATTTGAAATTATAATGTTTGAAAAAGTTGGCTTTATAAATTCATATCTTAGTAACGAGTTTGTTTATTTCATCGCATTTTGACATGTCATTCGAAATTTGTCACAAAATCACACAAATTCATCAACAATTTTAAAATGTTCCAAAATCCCGAACATATTGCTAATAAGGCCAAAGAAATCGTGTTGGATTTACTTCCTGTGAAGTCTCGTGCCATTTACCAGAAAGAATATGATGTTTTTAATGAATGGAAAGACAAAAATGGCGTATTCGTTGTAAATGAAGATGTATTGCTAAATTATTTCACGAAAAATGTAAGTACCTAGGTACTTACTTTAAACAAATAACTTAGCTTTTGATATTGTTAGTATTTAATAATTTAATTATAAATATATGTATAATTTTATGTGATTTTGTGACAAATTTCGAATGACAAAATAAAACAACCAAATAACGAATTTAGACATTTTAGTCCATAAAGGTTGCCATGACGACCTTTACGGCCTAGGCCGAAAAAGAAACATTTTACGGACTGAAATGAGTCCGTAAAATAGCTGTTTTTGGGAGCGTATGACAAAAAATATTTAAACAGTTTTATTTTTATTTTTTAATTAACTAAGCGAACTATATCGACAATATTAGTATCTGTACCCTTTGAAAATTTGTCAAATCGTTAGAAATAAGCTAAAATGTCAATATTCCATAGGTATAGTGATAAATGAGGTCTAAATTATAAGAAAATGCATTTTCTATGAAAACTTGAAGAGATGGGTAAAAAATGGAACAATACAATTTGATGACAATTACATTGTGCATCTGATTCACGTAAAATATATAGGGTGTTCCATTTAAATTAAACAAATTATTGCCGTTTGAAGCTAGTAATTATTTAATATAAATTTTTGGACACTCTGTATAAGGTAGTAAAATTTTTATTATTGCAACACAATATCTGATCAATAAATAATCTTCAGTAAATATTTAGTATTAAAAACTTTGATACCCTTGGAGAAATAAAGTCTTAATTTTTTTACTGCAATTTCATAAAATTGAAAATATTTCAAAAACGGTAAGGTTTAAGTGTGATAAACCTTAATCAAATTTACCTTTATTTCAATCGTAGAATCTAAAAATAGAATAATATACAAGGTGTTCTATTTAAAAAAATAAAACTATAATATTTTTTACTTATTTGGGACACTCTGTATCTTGTAAAAATATTTTTCAATTGTAGCTCTAATACACCTTCAACGAACCCAAAACTTACAATTTGTAAAAATCTAATCGTTTAGCTACAGTATTCCGTGTCGTATGTGGTGAACAACCCTGTATACAGGGTGGTCCCAACTATATTCCGGAAACTTCGGCAGCATATTTTGCAGATAAAAATAAGTAAAAAAGTTCGTATAAATGTATGTCCTAAAATGCTTAGTTTCGGAGATACAGGGTGTAGAAATTTCGTTTTTATTTCGATTTATTCTAAATAATTTCTGAAGTAACGTCAATATTTGGATGAAAATTGGTGTCTGGGAGTTTTGTGACACGAGAAATTTGATTATGATGTCAAAATGACTCCTATTTGTAGAGGGCGCCACCTACATGCATTTTGACTGGTTTGAAGAGTAATAACTTTTCGTCTGTATACCTGTATAAAACTACTGACTAAAAAATATACATTTCCATGACTTTTTACGTAGAAAATGTCTCTTGGTAAAAATCGCTAGGAGCAACCGTCCTTAAGGTATTTAAAATGGAAATAGTCAATACATGTCATTAACAAAAAATAAGCACACGTTGAATAGAGTTATTTGACTAAAATAAAAAAAAATTACTTTTTTAAATTAATCATAATTTTTTCTGCGAAAAATGATGATTAAACAGTTTATGTTGAACTTTTGACACAAATAGATTTCAAATTTAAGATTTCAGTCGAATAACTATTTAGTCAATAAGTTTAATTTGTCAATGATGACAGGTATTGATAATTTCAATTTCAAATATCTCGAAAACCATTACTCGTAGCAATTTTTATCGAGAGACCTTTTTTATGTAAAAAAAGTTGAAAATGTATATTTTTTTACTCAGTAGTTTTATACAGGTATGGACGAAAAGTTATTACTCTTCAAACCAGTTAAAGCATATGTAGGTGGCGCCCTCTACAAGTAGGAGCCATATTGACATAAAAATCAAATTTCTTATATCCAAAATTCCTCAGACACCAATTTTCATCCAAATATTGACGTTACTTCTTAAATTATTTGGAAAAAATCTGGAAATAAAAATGAAACTTCTACACCCTGTACAGGGTGGGTCAAATTCGACGCTTTTAAATGGAAACACCCTTTTCTATAATAGGAGATAGACAAAAACTAATATTGGTGTCTGGAGCTCAATTTTCATCAAAAACATAATGGTGAAAACCGCACATCAATATCTGTTATCGTTTCGGAGTTACGGGGTGTTTTTCAAAAATGTGCATTTTTAACAAATCACTGTAACTTTTTTGCTATGGAAAATTTTGTATTTCTATGAAAACATTTCCAAAGCACCTTTTTACGTAGAATTTAATGGTTTAAGTATAATTTTTTTAAAATTAATAATTTAAGAGTTATCAACAGAAAATTGAGTTTTTATTTGGGACACCCTCTATATTTTTAAATAACTGAAAAGAATTTAAAATTACTTTTCCAAAAATATAGCACACTTGATATATTATAATCCCCTTCGAAATACAGAATTTTTAAAAGTTCGCCACTTTTAACTAGTAGGCTTTGGACCCCTAATTGATGATATGCCTTTAATGGAACTCGAA